CTCATGATTCCAATGCTGCCTTTTGAATACACGTCTGGAGTCTCCTGTGAATGATTTAGGAGACTCAAGTCTTACTGATGAGACACCTGAACACTTCAATGTGAATGTCCATTTCAAGTTGGCACCATCCAAGCCAGGTTCCAGGAATATGCCCACCCCACTCCTTAAAAAAAAAAAAAAGGGAAAAAATGACTGGACCATCAGGTACAGCTCTGCAAACCAACACATATGGCATTTAGAGAATGGACTTTGGGGTCTGATGGACATGGGTTCAAATCTCAGCTCTGCCACTTCTGAGGTATGCGGTGTGAGGGCCACCTCCCCTGCCTGAACTTCAACTGTCTTTGGGGAATCGAAGGGGACACTGTGAGTTTAGCATCTAGCACAGTGAGGCTGTTCTCATTCACCAGCATGGGGGAAGGCAGGGCCTGGTACTCTGCATTGCCAACACAAGAAAGTTTGTAAGCTGGTGGGATATCACATGTGCATAGCAAGCAGTCTGAAAAGACATCCATTAAGCTGAGAGCTGTGGTCACTTCTAAGGAGTGGGATAGAAGGTATATATTCCAGTAGGCTGAATATTTGTAAAGGGCAAGTTTTATATCTGTACCTTGAAATACATACAGATGTTTAAAGAAAACCAACCAAGAAACAAAAGTAAATAAAACGGGGAGGCGGGGTATGTAAGATGCCAAGGTTGGCAGGAATCCTAGTATGTCTGAGTCCCCTTGACAAGGTCTCTTCCTCCAGTGATGAGAAGTGTTCCCCCGCTGAAGGAAGCCCTTACTGACCCTACACGGAGCAGACCCTGGAGTCAAGATCACCCCACTCCTCCTCTACCCTACTCTCCCACCCTCTTACTTCTTTTTTTGCTTGAGTTAGTCCTGATTTAGTTTAGATATCCACACTCCTTTGAAGCCACTTGTCTCAGTAAAGACATGCCCACTCCCAGACTCAATATGTGAATCTTAATTAATCTAAACTAGGGGCTTTTAATGTAGTCCACAGACCACCCCTATCAAGGGTCCGTGGATGGAATGCATGGGATTCACAATCTTGCATTGAAAAAAAAGAAAAAAAAAAACTTTTCATTAAACTCCAACTGAAATTTAACATTTCCTTCTATTATGAACGTAAGCAACAAACCACAGTATCATTAGCAGTAACTTGTGACTTTGTCACCAATGGAAATCACAAATATTTTCATATCACAAAACAGTTATTACAGGTATCTCAGAACATTGTTTACCTTCATCACTACTTAAAAATTATGGTTGTTATTAGATCTGCTGCTAGATTTTGTTATTTAGTGCACTAATAAAGAAGCAAGTTTATTCCTGTATCATTTAAAAAGTATATTTTTTCATATAGTTGGTTTCTTTTGTAATCCGGTCATTTCATTCTATGCAATTAAATAGAGTATTCTGGGAAGGGGTCCCTAGGTTTCACCAGACTGCCAAAGGGGCCCATGGCACAGAAAAGGTGAATAAACCCTGGTCTAAGCCAATGCTGGCAATTCCATTATCCGAGTTGGAGACTACTTAGGAAGTGTCATGTGACCTAGTGTGTCACATTCACAATGAGATGCAATGGGACATCTGTTGGAGGGAGAGTGAAGTCCCTCTTGGGGAAGGTTTCTTAAGAGGAGACACAAGGAAGTCAAACTTTCTTCCTCTGCTTCTTAGTGTCTGAGCATGTGAGCTGGGAATTTCTTCCACCATTGTGCAGCCATGTGAAGAGCAGCTGATCCACCTGAGATGCAGAAAAGACTGATGGGAGAGGCCTGGGTTTTTGTGGATGTGGTTGATCTGGTGAATTAGCCAGACAGGAACCTCCCTACTTCTAAACTCCTGTTATCAATCAATAAATTCCTTAAGATTAAAAAAAAAAAAAAAGATACACGTACCACAATGTTCATTGCAGCAGTATTCACAATAGCCAGGACATGGAAGCAACCTAAGTGTCCATCGACAGGTGAATGGATAAAAAAGATGTGGCACATATATACAATGGAATATTACTCAGCCATAAAAAGGAACAAAATTGAGTTGTTTGTATTGAGGTGGATGGACCTAGAATCTGTCATACAGTGTGAAGTTAAGTCAGAAAAACAAAAACAAATACCATATGCTAACACATACATATGGAATTTAAAAAAGCGGTACTGATGAACCTAGTGGCAGGGCAGGAATAAAGACACAGACATAGAGAACAGATCTGAGGGCACAGTGGAGGAAGGGGAAGCTGGGATGAAGTGAGAGAGTAGCAACGACATATATACACTATCAAATGTAAAATGGATGGCTAGTGGGAAGCTACTGCATAGCACAAAGAGATCAACTCGATGCTTTGTGACGACCTAGAGGGATGGGATACGGAGGGTGGGAGGGAGGCTCAAGAGGGAGGGGATATGGGGATATATGTATACAAACAGCTGATTAACTCTGTTGTACAGCAGGAACTAACACAACATTGTAAAGCATTTATACTCCAGTAAAGATGTGAAAAAAAAAAGAATAGAAGAAAATACTCATACAAGTATTCTGAAAAACACCAAGCTGCTTCTTCATATCTTTGGATTATTACTCTTGGGCTTGCCTGGTATTGAGATAGCTGGTACTCAATAACTGAAAGAGCTTCAGATGCTGGTGTGATCCTAAAGATGACTAATTTGTACTTGGTTTAATTCTCCCTGCAGTTTTGTAGGTTAGGTCACCACCTGAAAGTGAAAATTCTAAGATGCTGTATGACAATGATGATAATATTTTTTAGCAATAAAAATAACTAACATTTATTGAGCACACAGTATGTGCCAGTGTGTTAAGTTACCTTATTAACTGTTATAGTGACATATTTACTCATTTAATTCTTTAAACTTGTTGAGGTAGGTACTAGTGGTATCACCCCTAATAATTCACATTTTACGTCAAGCTGGATTCAGGCCAAAGGCCTAATGAATCAAAGTAAAAGAATTAATTCTAGTCTAGGATCACCTATATCCTAACATATTTTACAACATTTTTTGCCTTGCTAATCTTTTATTCCCATAAGGACTCAAATTCCTCTATAGAAAATTCCCATTTTTTTCCCTCCCATCAAAGAAACAATAGACTATCTTAGTCAGGACTTCCAGGTCATACTGATATATTTTTACTTGTATTCCACTCTTATTATAAGAAGGTCTAACTGAAATTTTGTTAGGTAAGTCCATAGAGAGACCGAACATAAAAAAATCAAGAACTATAGTCACAAAAACTAAATATATTTTGCCCCTATTCAAAGGCAAGACCAAATGCATACGTATATGTATGAAACACCCTCTCAATATACATTAAATCTCATTAAAATGTAGTATATGCTTTCTATATGATGTACTGCTTCCGTGGACTTGGCTCTCAAAACTCTCTTTAACTAAAAACACTCAAAGATTTCCAAGAAATGCAATGTCTGAAGTCCTGGAACTGTACTGTACTAAAATGCCTAGAATTATCCTGCAGCTTGAAAAGGCTTTTCCAATGGAAAAAAAAGAGATGCTAAAAAGACCCAGCTAGAACACAGCTATATGGACACAAACACCTGCAAAGAAAGGAAAATGCTGATTTGAGTTCCATGAAGAAGATGAAATGGGTATTGGCAGACACTTAATAGAAACTCTACAATAGTGAATACAGTTTAGGGTATGGACCTATTGTGATGAGAGAAGATGAATCTTTTCATGATTGAGAGTATAGTACAAACTGCCACCAAAAGAAGAAAGCAGGTGGACAATGAAATAAAGTGACATAATCATGACTCAAGTGAAAAATAATTGGATTTTTACATATTCCAATCTTTTTAAAATTACTGTTAACGCTTTTAATTAGGATTGAGAAAGGTTCACTTGGGGTATTCTGGCGTCTTTGAGCCCCTTATTCTTCTTCACAGAGGAAGGCTGGATTTCTTTCCCTTTATTTCTTAAGCTTCCTATACTGTATCTATCTGGCGCTGTTAATGGAGAAGTAACACTGGAAGCAGACGGACATTCTGAAATGTATTCCGGATTACACTGTACAGTCAGGTTATTACAACCATTACAACAAATGTGAGTTATTCAGGGACAATCTGGACCAGCTGAGGTTCTGAGAGCTCCAGAGGGACGTATGAAAAACAAGAGGGGTGGGTACAGACATGGAATCAACACCCTATTTTCAGTATATAATCTGAGTCTAGAAAGAAACAGAATAATATTGGCATTTAGCTAGAACTTTAAAAAAAATTTTTAAGTTAAATCTATATGCTCTGTTGATTCTGTGAACCATTTTATCCTTCTCAAAAAATGACGAGATTAGAATATAGCAGGATGGCTAATGTGGGAGTTTTTTAGTTTCAGTGTCAGATGAGGGAATGTGGTGACCTCCTTATAGCTTGTATGAATTAACAATTTTTTAGAGACATGCTTCCCTGGCCCATGAAGTACTTGTTATGTGTTGTGTCAAAAGCAAGAAGCCCTGACATTAAGAAGTTAGGAAAACAGGATGAACAATAAGTGATACATAGTGGGCACCAATGTTTGAAGTGCTGATTCAACTTGGCATACAAAGGACACGTCCAGCATTACTATATATACTAAAACCAAAATGGCAAATGGAGCTCCAGTACTGTATATGTGGAATTATATCAGGAGCAAATAGCCAAATAAAATGTACTCCTGCTTCAATGACTCTCTCTCTTTAGACCAATTCTGTTTGCAGTCTTGGTGGAAAACTGCATGGCTTTTTAGTCTCTTCAAACACAAAAATCTATAAGCCTTGATTTAACTATGTTGTACAATATCTAACATACAAAATTCAATACAAGATTTAACTTTAACAGGACACCATCTATATTCTTTAAAAGAGAAAAGAAAAACTGCTAAAATTTTATGGAAAGATACAGGCAACTTCATTAAACTTAAAGTCTTACTACCTAAGTTTGGGGAAAGGACGTTTCCTTTTAAGCTGAAAGTTACCATAGGTTCATACCTTGAAGCAGGAGGCTCTATAAAGGAGCTGGACAACGTGCCCAATGCTAGTTTTAGAGGCTTGAGGAAACCGTGGCTCCAACCTTTGCACCACAAAGAGAACCAATACTTTTCTTGACAAAGCAGAACCATCTTCTAAGGCCAGGAGAACCAGCTTTAGAGCTTCCTCCTGCATTGCTAGGAAAAGTTGAGCAAAACCAAAATTTATCATGTACAGAGATAAGATAAAGCCATTTCTTAGAAGGGAAACATTTAATAATTTCTACAGGTACCACTTCATTAATGGGCAACACAACAACAACCGATATTCAGTTATACTTTTGAACCATTTGGGAGCAATTTTTTATTACATTCCATATACTTTATTTAAGGAAGCAGATAAAAGATTAATACAGTTAGGGAAAACCTCTATCAAAATGAATAAACTTTTGGCAGTAAAAGTTTTAAGTATCCTGAAAAACTGACATGGAATTACCCAAGCCATGACTGTGGGATACCAAGTGGGATATTACTTGATAACAACAGAATATTGCAAAGAACTAGACTTTGTACATCACTTATAGTTCCTACGCTATAAATACTTTTAGAATTACTAGTATAGTAAATACCAAACTTTAATGATATACCTGGTCCAAGGAACTGGCAGCCTCTAGCTCTGACTGCTGCCCAAAGATTGGAAGAGAGTTGCTGAGGATTCTGGTGCTGAAGAATGAGCTCTGTAACTGTTCGTTCACCTAAAGATCGAGCTGCCCTCATGGCACGAATCCTGCCTTCTTCTTCTACTAGTTGGCAGTGGACCAGAGTCACCAGCTTCCTCTGCATTGGGCGACTCAGAACACTCTGAGTAGTGCTATTCAGACCCACTCCTTTAAAACAGAAAATATAGTTATTTCTAGGTTTCCATTGTAATTTTAGAGTCCAGAAAAATTTCCTCTGATGGGCTGATTTACTTATGGCTATGTGGAATAGTTCTGGGTTCTATCAGAATATTTAAAATAAACAATACAAATTACACAAGTGAAGCCTACTTTGCATTTTAAAAGTATACAGAAGTTGTTATTGCATGCAAATGTAACACTCATGACATTAAATATATCATTATTCATTTTAATCATGGAGAAATAAAGAAAAAAGGCCAGTCAATATCAATAATTAAAAACCCAAATCTTGACGAAGTGAGAGAGTGGCATGGACTTAATATATACTACCAAATGTAAAATAGATAGCTAGTGGGAAGCAGCCGCATAGCACAGGGAGATCAGCTTGGTGCTTTGTGACCATCTAGAGGGGTGGGATAGGGAGGGTGGGAAGGAGACGCAAGAGGGAGGAGATATGGGGATATATATATGTGTACAGCTGATTCGCTTTGTTATAAAGCAGAAACTAACACATAATTGTAAAGCAATTATACTCCAGTAAAGATGTTAAAAAAAAAAAAAACCCAAATCTTGAGGTCCTAACAGGTCTGGTATATTTCCTAGTGGTTAAGCTCACCTTCCTAATGAAAACAAGCCATAATGACAAGACAGTAATGGCAACTTCCAATTTTATTGTACCCCCAATAGCATACAACACAAAACTGGATAGAAGGCTGACAATTTAGAGTTGTCAAATGATAGAGAGCCCTTCTGAAATCACTAGTGTGTTTATACTTACTTTTGCAACTCATTCAAAAGATGTTTCCAATAAATAGTACATAAACTTTAAACTCACTATTTTATTTGATGTGGTTTGTAATATTATTTAGCACCAGTGGGTCCGGCTTACAATAAATAAATGAATTTCGTTAACATTCACTTATAGCTCACAATTTTTATGGTAACAAAAGCATCTTTAAAGAACACGTGCTCAGCATGGATACTTTCATCTGATTTACCTCTAGCACTGCTGAGTGGTTTCAGGTACAGTGCTAATTCTTCTACACACTTCTTGGCTTCCTCATAATGCTTTGTATCTTCAACCCCACTACACAAAGTAATGGGCTGCTGTTCAGGAACCTAGAGGTAAAAAAAAAAAAAAAAAAGGTGTGTTTGAGTGCTCACTAATTAATTATAATCAAATGTTTTATTGAGTATGTTTTATGCACTCCTAACACTGGTAACATCAAAACTCCCATTAAATTTACTGAATTCTTTCAAAAGATCTTTTATATACATACACACAAAATTACTGCATTTTTAAATTTTTGTTTTGTTTCTGTAACAGCTTTATTGAGATATAACTTGCATATCATATAATTGACCCATTTAAGGTATATAATTCAATGACTTTAAGTTTATTCTCAGTTATACAACCATCACAATTTTAGAACATTTTCATAGCCCCCCCAAAAGAACCCCATAGTCACCCCTGCCATATTTCCTCCCAAACCCCCTCCAGCCATAGGAAAAAACTAATCTATTTTCTGTCTCTACAGATTTGCCTATTTTGGACATTTCATATAAACAGAATCAACTTCCAAAGTAGCTGTACCATTTTGCATTCCCACCAGCAATAAACGAGAGTCTCTCTTGCTTCCCATCCTCACCAGTATTTCGTGCTGTCAATGTTATGAATTTTAGCTATTCTACTTTATGTGTAGTGGTAGCTCACTGTTGCTGTTGTTTTCACAATTTTTAAAGATTATATTCTATTTATAAAATGTTGGTCATATTCCCCTTGTTGTACAATATATCCTTGTAGCTTATTTATTTTATACATAGTAGTTTGTACCTCTGATTGCTGTTTTAATTTGCAATTCTTTAATGACAAACAATGCTGAGCAAGCTTTTATCTGCTCATTTGGCACCTGCATATCTTCTTTGGTGAAGTGTCCAGATCTTTGCCCATTTAAAAACCATGTTCTTTTTATAATTGAGTTGTAAGGGTTCTTAGATACAAGTTTCTTACAGATATATGATTTATAATTATTTTCTCCCATTCTGTGGGTTGTTCTCTCACTCTCTTGACAATGTCTTTTGAAGCACTAAGTTTTTTGTTTTGTTTTGGCCGTACCACGTGGCTTGTGGGATCTTAGTTCCCCAACCAGAAATTGAACCCAGGCCCTCAGCAATGAAAGCACCGAGTCCTAACCAATGGACTGCCAGGAAATTCCCTGAAGCACTAAGTTTTAAATTTTGATTTAGTTTGATTTATCTTTTGTTCCTTGTGCTTCTGGTGTCATAGCTAAAAAAATACTGCCTAGGGACTTCCCTGGTGGTTCAGTGGTTAAGACTCCATGCTCCCAATGTAGGGGTCCCGGGTTTGATCCCTGGCCAGGGAACTAGATCCTACATGCATGCCACAACTAAGGAGCCTGTGTGCCACAACTAAGGAGCCTGTGTGCCACAACTAAGGAGCCAGTGAGCTGCAACTAAGGAGCCCTCGAGCTGCAACTAAAGGAACCCGCTTGCCGCAACTAAGACCTGGCACAACCAAATAAATGAATAAACAAAAAAACCACTGCCTACTCCAAGGTCACAAAGATTTATGCAAATATTTTGTTTTAAGAGTTCTGCAGTTTTAGCTCTTACTTTTAGCCTTTGATCTATTTTGATTTAATTTTTGTATATGGTGTGAGGTAGTGGTCCAAATTCATTCTTTTGCATTTGGATATCCAGTTTGCTCAGCACCATTAGTTGGAAAGACTGTCCTTTCCCCATTGAATGGTTTCGGCAATCTTGTAAAAAGTCATTTGACCATACATATGGGTTTATTTCTGGACTCTCTATTCTATTCCATTGATCTAAATGCCTATCTTTATGCCAACACCACACTGTCTTTATCACTAGAGTTATGCAGTTTCAAAATCAGGAAGCGTGATTCCTTCAAATTTGTTCTTCTTTTAAGACTGTTTTGGCTATTTAGGGTCCCCTGTGAGTCCATATAAATTTTAGGATGGGTTTTTCTATTTCTTCAAAAAACATCATTGGGATTTTGAAAAAGCTTACATTGAATCTGTTGATTGTTTTGGGTAGTACTGTCATCTTAGTAATATTAAGTCTGTGAACAGGTGATGTCTTTCCATTTATTTATGTCTTCTTTAATTTCTTTAAGCAATGTTTTATTTTCAATGTACAAGTCTTTCACCTCCTTTGCTAAATTTATTCCTAAGTATTTTATTCTTTTTGATGCTCCTGTAAGTGAAATTATTTTCTTAATTTCCTTTTGGATTGTTCATTGTTAGTGTACAGAAATGAAATGGATTTTTGCATGTTAACTTTGTATCCTGCAACTTTGCTTAATTCATTTATTACTTCTAACAGTTTTTTAATGGAGATCTGTGGGGTTAAAATAATGGCTATTATGGATTAAAATGTCCTATCCTCAAATTTCATAAACATTAGTTGTTACAGTTAAGACATGACAAGGTCTTACTCATTTTGTAGAAAAAGAATCAGTTCATCCTTAGACAACTTTATGAAAAAAAGTAAGTCTTGGTTATTTGTTATTAAAATATTATATCACTAAAACTGTTATCCCCAATAAGTCTATTTTAAAAACATTTCTAAAATGTCATAATGGAATTTTCAAAACAAAAAGAAAAATGATTATGAATGAAAAATTAAGTACAGGAAGAGAAGAAAAACAATCAAATGCAATTTCCCTCTGACAAATATTAATATTTTGTAGTACTGGCGACATCATCAAGATAGATTTGTAAATAAAGTAAGTTTTCCTTTTTTTTTTGGCTGCACCATGTGGCATGCAGGATCCTAGTTTCCCAACCAAGGACTGAACTACTCCCCCCGCAGTAGAAGCACAGAGTCCCAACCACGGGACCGCCAGGGAAGTCCCAGTAAGTTTTCCTTTTGAATAAGCTGTTCTAAAACTGCTCTCTTTATCACCTACATACATAATATCAACCTTCCCTATTTTTTATCAACTTATAGGAAGACTAATCTAGCAAATAATAGTGGTATTAATATTAATATAAATATTAAAGTCCAAAGTTCCAGTATATTTATTTGGAAAATGATTTACGGTAAACATATGATACTTTAGACTCACTATGCACATTAACAGTGAGGGGTTGTTTAAGTGGATCATACCTAACTCTGAAAAGCCTGCTTCCCTTGGCTTTGTGAAACCTTCTGAAGATACTATTGATCTCTACCTTGAGAATACGGACACAAAACTTTCAGAGTATTACCCTCAGAATTACTTTTATATTTAGATACTTAGAGGTATTTGCTCCTACGCTAGACAAATGGTTCCCAAAGGCTGTGTTCTATAGTTTTCATCACTTTCTCGATCTTTCATTTCAGTTAGTGTCTACTACGTAAAATAGTCTGAAGCAGCTTCACTTTTCCTATTAAGTAAAATGCAATTATTTTGTGAATAATATTTTCTTCAATATTAAGAAGTTCTTGTGACTTACTTCTTAGGTTTCTCTAATGATCTGATAGCTAAGGCTGTTGAGAAAGTCTGAGCACCAGACTGAATGAATGTTACTGTACAGTGACTGAGAAACACTGCACCACCATAACAAATCTCCTTAACGTACTGAAATAAAGGATCTGCACAGTACTGAACAGAATTTTATCTATTTAAATAAAAGAAAGGAGGAGCTTCAAGATGGCAGAAGAGTAAGACGTGGAGATCACCTTCCTCCCCACAAATACATCGGAAATACATCTACATGTGGAACAACTCCTACAGAACACTTACTGAACAATGGCAGAAGAACTCAGACCTCTCAGAAGGCAATAAACTCCCCACGTACCTGGGTAGGGCAAAAGAAAAAAGAAAAAACAGAGACAAAAGAATAGGGACGGGACCTGCACCAGTGGGAGGGAGCTGTGAAGGAGGAAAGGTTTCCACACACTAGGAAGGCCTTTCTCAGGCAGAGACTGCGGGAGGCGGAGTGGGGAAGCTTCGGAGCTGCGGAGGAGAGCACAGCAACAGGGGTGCGGGGGGCAAAGTAGAGAGATCCCCGCAGAGAGAATCAGTGCCAACCAGCACTCACCAGCCCAAGAGGCTTGTCTGCTCACTCGCGGGATGGGCGGGGGCTGGGAGCTGAGACTCCGGCTTCAGAGGGCGGATCCCAGGGAGAGGACTGGGGTTGGCTGCATGAACATAGCCTGAAGGGGGCTAGGGCACCACAGCTAGCCTGGAGTGTGTCTGGGAAAAGGTCTGGAGCTGGGGAAGAGGTAAGAGACGTTTTCTTGCCTCTTTGTTTCCTGGTGAGCGAGGAGAGGGGATTAAGAGTACTGCCTAAACGAGCTCGAGATGGGCGCAAGCCACGGCTATCAGCGCGGACCCCAGAGATGGGCATGAGATGCTAAGGCTGCTGCTGCAGCCACCAAGAAGCCTGTGTGCAAGCACAGGTCGCTATCCACACCTCCCCTCCCTGGAGCCTGTGCATCCGGCCACTGCCAGGGACAACTTCCCCCGGAGAACACATGGTGCGCCTCAGGATAGGGAAACATCACGCCAGCCTCTGTCACCACAGGCTCACCCAGCATTCCTTAACCCTGCCCCCCACAGTGAGCCAGAGCCCCCTAATCAGCTGCTACTTTAACCTCGTCCTGTCTGGGCGGGGATCAAACGCCCTCAGGCAACCTACACGCAGAGGCGGGGCCACATCCAAAGCTGAATCCCAAGAACTGTGAGAACAAAGAAGAGAAAGGGAAATCTCTCCCAGCATCCTCAGGAGCAGCGGATTAAATCTCCACAACCAACTTGATGTACCCTGCATCTGTGGAATACCTGAATGAAGAACGAGTCATACCAACTTGAGGCAGTGGACTTTGGGAGCAACGATATATATATATTTTTCCCTTTTTCTCTTTTTGTGACTGTGTATATGTATGCTTCTGTATGTGATTCTGTCTGTATAACTTTGCTTTTACCATTTGTCCTAGGGTTCCGTCTCTCCATTTTTTTTTTAAGATGTCGGCGGTAGGAGTTTATTAATTTATTTATTTTTGCTGTGTTGGGTCTTCGTTTCTGTGCGAGGGCTTTCTCTAGTTGTGGCAAGTGGGGGCCACTCTTTATCGTGGTGCACGGGCCTCTC